CTCTCTCTCTCTCTCTCTCTCTCTCTCTCTTTCTCTCTCTGTTTGTACTCAGGTGTGTGTGTGTGTGTGTGTGTGTGTGTGTAGCTTGTACTGAATTATTTGGATTCTCCTCTCTATGTTTGCTATATATAATCTTCATTACTCATCAGTGAGTATTTATAAAGAACATATATATGGCCAGTTTTTGTACATTATTTTGTGGGCAGTAATTTTGAATGAATAGTTTTTAACAGCCTTTTCTTTTTAATGCTCTTAGGGAACAATGTTACAAGCCATTGAAAGATACATGAAGCAGGCCATTGTGGATAAAGTTTCCAGTGTATCCAGTTCAGCACTGGTCTCTTCCTTAGTAAGTGATCAGTCAGCTTTTTGTTTCTTATGTGTGGTCTAGTGTCTGGTTTAAAAATAACTTATTACTGTTGTTCTCTTACAAGAGAAACAGTTAAAAATATGTGTATATCCTGTTACTTTGTCCAACTGTATTTTATTTGGAAAAACACTCAGCAGTTATAATGGGCAGTAAAATCTTGAGTGTTCATGTTTAGAAGCTTTGGGGACTGAAGGTACTAAGTAGGATAGGGGTAAGTTTCTCCTCTGTGCTCATATGTTTACTTCCAACCTCTTTGTCCTCAGCTTCCCTTGGTTTCTCGTTGTCCTTTAAAGTCTTCCTTATGACCTTTGAATTTCAAGAAATGACCTTTTGTTACAGTAATAGCTTTTCTTTCACCTTTCATCAAAGCAAAAACTGTTTGTTTGTTTGTTTGTTTGTTTGTTTGTTTGTTTTTTAAGATTATATATGTGAGTACACTGTCACTGTCTTCGGACACACTAGAAGAGGGCCTTGGATCCCATTAAAGATGGTTGTGAGCCACCATGTTGTTGCTGGGATTTGAACTCAGGACCTCTGGAAGAGCAGTCAGTGCTCTTAACCACTGAGCCATCTCTCCAGCCCCAAAAATGTATTCTATAAAATTTTAATATATTGTATTTGATTAAAGTCAGTAAATATGGGACTATGGATTTCTTGGATAGTGAAATGATTACCAGTAAGCATGAAGACATAGTCTCAGAACCCACATAAAAAGACTTGTATGGTCGCACATGAATCCCAGCTCTGGGGAGGTGGACACAGCCAGATTTCTGTAGCTCATCAGCTAGTCAGCCTAGACAGTTGGCAGGCCCCAGATCCTCGTGAGAGATTGTGCTTCAAAAACCAACTTGACCCCTAGCCTCTATACACATAGAGGCTATGCACGTACACATACCACCCCACCCCCATGAACAAGCATGCTTACCCACACTTCCATACAAATCATTAGAGTGGACTGCCTGATTCTAGAATGTCACAGAACAGGTTTTAGATCAAGGAGCGTGCTTGCTGTGTTGTTGTTTCTTCAGGGGAATTTCCTAGAAGTCAAGCTAACGTTAACATTCCTTAAGAGCCATTCTGTTAGATGCTTCTCTTCTCTTCCTTCTGTGGCTTTCCTTTCCTGGTCTGTTCCAGCTCACAAATGTGTAGGTGTCTATTACTCTGCAAAGAGATATTAAAGAAAAAAAATTCAGTTTATAGTTGCCTTAGAATAGAGACAATGTAGACTTAAAAAGCAGCAGTATTTTCAGTGTTTTGGAAATATCTTTAGTAATTTTTGTAAGAAATTTAACTTGCATTTCTAGTGTCTAGTGATCATGCATTATATGCTCCCATTTTTCTTAATGTAGCACATGATGAAGATAAGCTATGACGTGGTTAAACGATGGATCAATGAAGCCCAAGAAGCTGCATCAAGTGACAATATCATGGTGCAGGTACTGTCTTTGATATCATCTATGTATCAAGACAAAGTATTTATTATCCAGCAGTAAAGAAAATTTTTGACATATTAATCCACTTATTAGTACATATTATCAAGTAGGTACCTTACATATTTTATTACTTCCATTGGCTTTCTGTTTGGTAGAAGATAAATGACCTCCAGTAGGAATGTTTAAGAAAAATTCCCTTTTTAATAGTAGATAGAAATGCTTATTCCAAAGGGATTAACATTGATTTTGGACTTTTATTTGAAAGATAATTTGTGTAAAAGGAAACTCTATTTCTTAGGCTTGATAATAAATAGTGTAAAAATAATCAGCCAACTTTGCTATATAAAATAGTGAGGAAATCTTTCAGAAAGAGCTTATGATATTTATTAAGCGATTATCAAAAGGAATATAATCAAAAGTCTAACTGGTAGTTTTATGTGAAATTTCTATATGTGTTTGAAAAAGTATTACTGTTTATATCTTCTTACCTTAGCATATTTAATAATGTGAGAAACAGTCATTTCCTCTGGAGACATCTGTTGGTCTAATTCTGATCAGTGTACTTCCATACAGAGTGTCTTGATGATGACATTCTCCTAGCCTACTTTAGGGTATTTATCCTTTATTAAGGTGGTGACACTTGAAGGCATGGACTTGTAGTCCCAGAAACAGCAAAACCCTGACTCTGTGTAAGTTAGATCTGAGGGTATGAGCCATTGTTAAATCCACTAGATCTCTTAGGTTGTATTCAACCCCTTTCTTACTCCTACTCTGAATTTACAACTTCTGGAGTAAATTACACACTCTCTCTTTTTTTTTCTTAGTGATCCTAGTGTTTAGTTTCATATAAAAAGATACTGTATTTTGTCTTTTTGACTTATATATCTTTTTTTGTCTAGTTCTATGGAGTTATCTCTCCTGTAGGTGTCTTGCTGTCTTCCTGAGCTCACGTTGCACTCTTTCTTGTTCTTAGTACCACGCATTGGGAGTGCTCTACCACCTTAGGAAGAATGATCGGCTTGCTGTCTCCAAGATGTTAAATAAATTTACCAAATCTGGTCTCAAGTCACAGTTTGCATACTGTATGCTGATTCGAATTGCTAGTCGATTACTGAAGGAAAGCGAGGATGGGTAAGTATCCTAAACTGAGTTGGTTTAAATTTACAAGTTAATATTTCCTTAGAATTTATTTTTTTATGAATATTTTTAGGGTAGCACTTACTTTACAGATAAGTTTAATGTTTTCCGAATTACAAAGAAATTGACAACCGAGCATGATGATGCAGACCTTTAATCCTAGCACTTGGGAGGCAGAGGCAGGCGAGTCTCTTGAGTTTGAGGACAGCCTGGTCTATAGAGTGAGTTCCAGGACAGTCAGAGCTATGCAGAAACCCTATCTCAAACAAACAAACAAACAAACAAACAGAAAGAAATTGAGGATTCTAAGTAACACAGTATTTTTTTTACCTTTATATATGTTTATATATGTAGTGGTTGATAATCATCTATTTATGAACTGATAGCAGAGGTAAAATGCTACAGGTCCTAAGTTAGTCAGATAACTGAGTATGAGCCTCAGGAGGGACATTACAAATCATCTTGTATAGCTTGTATAAGAAAGAATGTTGACATACTAAATTGAATAATTTGCCCAAGATCACTGTGTAAGTTTAAGTTATATGCAAACTTACCAGCAATACCTTAGCAGTCCTAGAGGCTACGAGGATACAGGAAGAGGATAGGGATCTTTCAAGGTGTAGTAAACTGGGAGCAAAGAAGAAGCATCCGTACCCTAAATGGCTTCTGGCGTTCCCTTTTTAGTTTATAGACAGGATTTCTCCAGGTTGGCCTCTCTTGCCTCGGCCTCCCAAGTGCTAGAATTGCAGGTATGCACTACTACCTGGCCAGTTATGGTTTAATTTTAAAATAGATTGCTCATTGGATCTGGAAAACTGAAGAGTTAACACCAGAATCTCTAGACTAGTTGAGTACCAAAGTACTGCCAAGAAAGGAACAAGGAAGAAACTGTCTTTTAGTTCAGTTATGAATATCAGAGTGCTGAATTTGATTAAAACCAAAACAGAGCTGAACCTAGGTTAGCTACTGGCTTCTCATAATGGAAAGAACTTGCTATTTTTTTTTTGTTTTAAGTATTATTTTATGTCAGTCTTACTATATTTTTATAAGCAGTGTTTAGCAGAAAATCAAAAAAAGTCAAAGAGGCAAGAAGATTGTGACTTTAATGAAGAAAAAACTATTAGTAAAAACAGACTTCCTGGTGATCCCCATGTTGGAGTTAACCACAGTGTCATTAGTAACAGTTGCACCATAGGGCACCTTTTCTAATCATGGTAGCTGCACTTTTTCATGGAAGTGCTTTTTGGTAGTTGAGAGTGACTTTTCAGCTTTTAAAACTTTTGGAACCAGGTCTAGTAATCTGATGGTTTCCTGTTCTTTTAACTGGAATGGTTTCCTGGTTTTTTTTTTTATGCTTTTAGATGTGATACACATGGCTAGAATTTTGTCCTGGGGGTAAATAGCTTTTGTTAAACGACAAAACATCGTGACTTTAACAACTTAAAATCTCTATAACTTAGTTTTCTTAACTGTGAAGTAATTTATCTGTCAGAATTATTGTAATCATTTAAGTCATATGCATCAATAGTAATAGTAAATTACTAAAGAACAAAAGTATTAATTGTGATTTTACATACAAACCTTTTGTAACCACCTAAACACCAAGTTGATAATTTTATATGGCAGTGATTCTTCAAACAACTGGCAGTACAAGCATATGGGTACAGATATGTCAGGGGAAACAGGTACTTCCCACTCTTACCATATTTATTACCCTTTTTTGTGTTGTAGTAATTATTTAAAATTGGCCTCTGGTCAAGCTGACTATCTAAGCTGTGGCAGCTCTGCCTAGCTCAGCTGCCATGTTCTGTGGCCAGAGGCCATGTGCACACCGCAGCTAGAAATGGCCCTGCCACAAATACCAGCCCTGCCACCCACAAGACGTCAGCATGGGAGATGGCTCTGCCAATCTCCTGTAGAAAAAAATGAGACTCTAATGCTTAAAGATTAATCAAAGGCTTTATATATCTGGTAAAGCTCAATAACAGTATGCCCATACAAAGAGAGTTGTTTCCCAATTAGCTAGCCTAAATAAAAGTAGTTACTGGCACTCCTCTCCATACCTGCGTGGCTTTCCGTCCTCTTACATCTCTGCTCTCTCACTCCTCCTCTTCCTTTTCCTCTTCTTCTCCTAACTCCTCCCACCTTAGCTCCTCCTACATTTTTGTATGATAGAACTTTTCCTGGTGAGACACAGCACACATATATACTCACCTCAGATAAGGAATTCATGGGAACAGATACCACCAAAGTCCCAACTTGGTGAACAAATGAATTTTACAGGACTGTGGGTGGGAGATTACTTACAGGAGAAGAAATGGCTCAAAGCTGCATCCTTAGGCCCACCTCAGCATGGGTGACAGCTCACAAAAGCTGGAAACCTAGCGTACAGCACAGGCTGCAGGCAGCTCAACAGGTTAGAGAGTGTCCTTTTCATGTGACTCTGGTCTAAACCTCTTCCAGATAGCTCTGCTGGTTTCTGCTGCTTTCAGGTCTCAGAATCTTTTTAGTAGCTTTTTTCTCTGAGAGTCTTCTCTGTAGCTTGATTGTCTGTGTCTTGGCACCTCTGTTCTCATTGCTTAATTTGGGACAGAGGGGGCCTAGAGAATATGGTCAGTTTCAGGAACTTCTTAAAGCTACTTAGCGGTATTTACCTTTTTTCTTAAGGAGCTTCCCTGCAGAATGTATTGCTTCAATATTGGAGGAGATTGTTGCACAACATTCTATCTCTTCCCTTGGTTCTTACATACTTCCCATCCCCTCATCTACAATGATCTCTGAACCTTGGAGGGGGTGTCTTAGTTAGGATTTCTACTAATGTAAAGAGACACCATGACCACAGCAACTTTTATAAAGGAAAATATTTAATTTAGGGCTGGCTTACAGCTCAGAGGTTTAGTCCAAAATTGTCATGGTGAAAAACATGGCGGCATGCATGCAGACATGGTGCTGGAGAAGTAGCTGAGAGTTCTACATCTGGATCCATGGGCAGCAGAAGTGAAAGTGACACTAGGCCTAGTTTGAGCAACTGAGACCTCAAAGCCTACACTTCCTCTAACAAGGCCACACTTCCTAATAGTGCCACCCTCTCTGGGCCAAGCATTCAAACACATGAGTGTGTGGGGGCCACTCCTATTCAAACCATCACAGGCTGAGTATTTAGTTGTACTATGGCTGAGACATAGGCCACCATGCCACAGTTACTTGTTCTCAGGAGCTTCAGCAGTGATTATGAATTAAGACTGACAACAGCAGTGATCTGTGGGCATAAACACACATTTAGAAGGCAGCTTGACAGCACATCACATCCAACTAGAAAAACAATAGAACTTGCTTGACCTCCTCAGCCACATGTTTTTGTCCTGGCTTACTATCATATATGAGCTCTCTTTTCTGGAGTGGCCTTAAATCCAGTTAGAAGACTGTTGGTCTAACCCACAGTAGCCAAGCCACTATTGTACAAGTAGGCACTTCTTTCCTAGCATACGATATTTCAACTTCTAAGAACTATAGCTAGGCAGGAATGTTGCTGACAGTTCTCCACTAGCAGCCTGTCTAGCCTCTTCTGGCACTGTGAAAGCCAGTCATCAGGGTAGGAGTTTCTAGTTCTGTCTCAGCTTAATTTTTCCATTCCATGTACAGTCAGAGCATGTACATGTGGTATCTTCAGCAATAGGGTGTTATCTAGTTCTGGCATACAACCAACAGCAGTAGCAGTAGCCTTTATGGTTTGTGGGGCTTCAGGAGCTTCCTTGGCCAGCAACTCACAAGGAAGTAGATGACCCCTGGCACGGACATTCAGTAACCTTATAGCTTCTGGAAATATCCATTTTTATTCATGTAAGGTGCCTTTTGGCTCTTTTCCCTTTCCATTAGCCCAGCCCTGGTTACAGTTGTAAGGTAGGTGGAAGTAACATTGTATCTGGTTGTCTCTCTAGTGGCTTTCCAAATTCATAAAACACTCAGAGGTTAGCATTATCTTATCTAGAAAACAAAACTTTTTCCAGAGGGTGGGCAAGACAAGGCAACATGGTGAACCATCATCTCATAACAAATAATAGAGTTACAAAGATAATATTAGTAAAGTACCATCAAAGTATTTTGTCATCTGAGCAAGTGTTCTGAGCAAGTGTCAGTTGACCCCAGAAGTGTGCAACTAAGACAGTGATAAAGGAGAACAGAAGCAATGTCTAATACATTGTAGACGAGTTCTGTACATTTGCATCATTCGCCTTCTCCATAGATCAAAGCTGGACACAAAGCATGGATAGGAGGTGCTCACTTACGTGGTTTTCTGTAATCCTCAGACCTTTTCTCTAAGCTGTTACATTTATATTTCCTGGAGCTCTTCCACTGAGCCTCCCTACATTTCTTTATACCTATAAACTCAGTGGGCCTGACTTAATCTGCTTAGGTATATAACCCAAGGCCAAAGGGGAATGAGATTTTCTCTCCCCTGCTGTACCTGCTGGCTTCCAGGTCAGATAGGACCTGGGTTGGCACTGTGGATGTAGCTGTAGCTGCTGGCCTCCCCATTCACAAAATCTAGATATTGGGGGAGTTCCCAAATGGGAAAAACATCTCCATTCCTAGCATAACCTTTTGGCTGATGGGAAAGGTACCCTTCTTAGTCTGCAGTTATGATTACACACCCATAGAACTGGCTTGATCATCTTTACCTGTATTGTTCTGTCTTCTGTGACCGGCTCCTGAGGCTTTAAAGTCTTCCAGCAGCTCCTTAACACAGTTTGACTTTCTGTCAGTTCTTTCTTTGGAAACCCTAGCTTGACATAAATCCTGTAACATTTGTCCTTGAGTAACCCAGACAGACCTCTTCCTCTGCCTTTACCATTTTCTCATCTCCTCTAGGCTGCTATCTCACTTTATGGATAATCTTTACATACTGGTCTAAGTCACTGAGATCTTCAAAAGCCTTTCCTACTTTATAAAGATTTTGTCCCACACCAAAGGGCTCAGGAAAGCCACTAAAGTTC